CTTTCAAGGAAATGCACAACGTGTTATGGGGTGAAGGATCCTGATGTATGTATATGACATACCCTCATGTGGTTCAAAAAAGAGGAAAAGAGAGACTGCAATGCTAAAGCAAATGGGACAAAGGTTAAGAATAGGTAAATCTAGGTCAAGGGTACGTGGAGTTCCTTGGAACTTTTTCCAAGTTAGAAAATATGTCCACACAACAGGACCTTTATTTATTTATTTATTTATTTATTTATTTATTTATTTATTTTTAAGTCAATCTAGTATTAGCAAGTGATGGTACTTGGAATTGGGAAGGGGAAAAACACATGAACTGCCATGAGAATAATTGTTGGGAGAAGCTTGAGGCTGAGCTGATGCCCTGCAGTGTAGGGGTTCCCCCACCAACACGAGGAATTATGAGGGCCACACAGAACACGGGGTCACAAGCAAACAAATGCCAGAATAATTCTACTGTGAGGTACACCAGGAAAACCAACATCTCAGTATGCGTAAGAAGATGATTTTTAGGCCTGGGCCTAGAGTCTGCTCATCTCAACACAATCTACCCAGTAGAAGAATTAGCCTGTTCAAGCTCATCTTTCATTTGCTGCCCCTTTGGGCCTGGAAGGTTCTGGGTCGGTGAGAAAAGGTAGTTAACCCAAAGAGCAAGCTGCTAGCATTGACAAAGACACAGCACATGCAAAAAAGCCTGGGGAAAATGCTAGAATGACTAACAAATGAGTGGACTGCTTATGACGATGCGATTATTATGATTGTCACAGACATGCCTGACTTACTAAGTGCTAGAACCTGGGGAAGGAGAACTATACAATAGACTATCCCTGTCCTCAAGAAGCTTTGTGGAGAGAGGGACACACAAAGGTGCATTAGGGCGGCAGGTGGGAAGTGTAGAATGAACGTAGGCTGGAGTTCGAGGAACACGACAGTCAGAAAAGTCATTGTGGGTATTTAGCACCAAGCAAGTGGTAAGGACAGACATTTTTCCCTTTCTTTCTGCCCTCCTTCCTGTTTTCCAATAAATACTTAATTACGTTTCCTAATTGCAAGGAACTGTGCCAGACACTCACAGAGAACAGTGACATTAAAAAATGATGCTGAAAAGAAAAAAATTTATATATGATGCTGAGAGGAAGAGGAAAAGGCACCTTTGGGGGTTAATTAATAATAACAGCTAAAATGTAAGGGGCCCTGTGTTAGTGTCCTGTGGCTGCCATAACAAATCACCACAGACTTAGTAGCTTAAAACAGACATTTATTTTCTCCCACTTCTGGAGGCGGAAGTCTAAAATCGAGGTGTTGGCAGGGCTGTGCTCCCTGCAGAGGCCAGGGGACATTCCTTTCCCCGCTGCTTTCAGCTTCTGGTGGCCGTTGGCATTTCTGGGCAATCCCTGTCTCCGTTTTTACACGGGCTTGTCTTCTGTCTGTCTGGTCACCATGGTGCGTCTCTTATTACCACACTTGTCATTGGATTTAGGGCCCAACAGGATAATCCATGATCTTTTCATTCCCAGGTCCATCATTATGTCTGCAAAGAACCTTTTTCCTTTTTTTTTTTTTTTCAGTTGCCTGCTACTTTTCATTAACATCTAAATAGATAACACATCCAATAATTATAACATGGAAATGTCTATGAACAAATTAGATACCGTTTTTTAGCAAATGCTTAGGAAAGAATGGTCAAGTTCATCCATGGTTTTAGGCAGCAGCGTCTAGGCAGCTGGGGTGAGGCCAGTGGTTGGGAACAGAGGTAAATATCTGCAATCCATGCAATTCCTTTGATTTCTTCTGTTAGTGACTGGTTCACTGCCCGGTACTGCTGGGATAGGCCTCTTCTGGCATTCTGATTCCATCTGGACTTCATTCGTTGTTGTTGCCGCAGAGCCTCCTGAAATGTCAGTGACTTTGATAGCAGTAGCTCAAGGGAGGTGTTCTTTGAGGATTTGGGTTACTATGAGCTCCCTCTCAACCTGCTAGGCACAGTGAAGAGGAAGCCCTTGGATGATGTGGAGCGGAGGCCAGGCTCCAGGAGGGTATGCCCTGTGGACACACCCTGCTGCCCAAGGTCACCGTGCCACCCAGGACCCTTTTACAATACTAAATAGCATTCATAGTTTCCAGGAATTGGGACATGGGCATATTTGGGGGTGGCAGGCACCATTCAACCCATGACAAGCCCTTCTCATGTGCCAGTCGTTGTCCTAAGCATCTTATATGTATTACTCATCTAATTTATAACAACCCAGTAAGATGTTAGTTTGGTCCATATTGAGGATATGGAGGCACAGAACCTTAGGTAAGGTGGAGCCATTACTTGGGATAATTGGCTTGGGTGGAGAGCTTGTGTTGAGGAAGAGTAAGACATGTTTGGACAAACAAGGTAAGGTCACATGCAGGATGCCTTAGATACCTATGGAAAATGTGCCTTACCCTGTGGGTAATCGGCAGCCACTGAGGATGTTGACCAAGAATGTCCTGTGAGCAATTATGTATAAGAATATTGATCAGGAAGCACTGTGTTAAGTAGAGGGGAGGAGGGCTGGAATGGGAGACCTATTAGAAGTGCTCACGTAATTGCTCTGAGAGAGATGGAGGCCTAGACTGAAGGACTGGCCACAGAAACAGAGGAAGGCTTAAGAGCTCACTCTCCTTTTCATCCTGACATATGGAGCCAGACTCTTTTTTTCTATTAGACTCAGCTCCCATCTACCTAGGTCCCACACCAGGAGGCAGTTGAGAGTCAAGACATCTCCATTTACCCCAGTTTAGCATACACTGTTTTTTGGTTTTTTGTTGTTGTTTTTTTGTTTTGTTTTTAAATCATTGCTCTCACATTTGAAAGCACCTGAACAGCGCCTGGAAATGCAATCCCCCTAGTACTGATTGTGGTCCCCTTTAAGACAATGGCACAATGGCACTGAACAATGTCCCTCTTGAGATTAAGAGATTGTCCACTCTGACCTATGATGGAATGGGCCTAGAAGCCAATTAAAGCATAAATCAAGTCAATAACAAGGACTCATGGGAGTGGCCTGTAAATGTGGCCGCCATGAGCTAGATCTTCGCTCTCTTCCTCTCGAGTTAGCAGACAAGGCAGAAGGAAGCAGCTCCATTCTCACCTCCCACCGGCTCTTCTTGGTGACCATGCTGCTCCTGGTGTGACTTGAATATTAAACAAGCTTATTCATTTTTAGGCTTTCAGGCTTTTTTTTGTGAGGATTTGATCAGTAATGCCTGATGGGAAAGGCATTTCCTGTTGGACAATGAAAGGTTTGAATGCAAGAGATCCTCAGTTATACTCTTGAGTCCTCAGCCCAACCCTATTATTCAGACTTCAGAAGCCATTAATGCTAGTCAGAGTAATCAAGTGTTTCTAAAAGCTGCAAAGTAATTATTTTTATCTGACAGTGAAAGCGAAAACGGAGATGCTTATTTACGCCTTGATTAACTTTAAGAAGTGCTTTCCTACAAAGCTAAGATCTTTGATTTCGTTTTAAAATTTTAATTTAGGTTGACCCCAAGAAGTGATACTATTCATTACAAAATAAAATTCAAAGATGACAGAATAATATAGACTAAAAAGTAAAATGAAAATATTTTAGGATAGTTTTTTGATGGGGATATCTTAACCCCATGTAATATCCTTCCAGGGTTAAAAAAAAAAAAAAAAAAGCTTCTAATACATTGGTCCTCAAAGTGTGGCCTGGGGGCCATCAACACTGGCATTTTTCCTTGAGTCTTCCCTGCAGACTTTATTGAATCAGAATCTGCATTTCAACAAGACAGCCTATGGAAGGGTTAGTGTTTCCACTGTTAGTCCTTTGGAAGGCATCCCGGTTGTTAAAAAAATGGGAAGAAATGAATAAAAGCGGTATGCAGAAAAATTAGCTAATTCATCCTACAGAGTTCTGTGTGAACAGAGCCCAATTTTGGAACACACCACTAGAGAATCAGTGGATGTTGGGTTGACCTGTTAAGGAGGTGTCACTCACAAGTAGGCCACCTCCCCTTAGTCCTTATAGTAATTACATATGAATAAGAAAATCATAGAACCAGAAACTTTTACAACTGAGATGAACAATAGAATTCATAGTAGTCAGTGCATGTGAGGTCTTGAGCCTCAAACTGGGTTTGTTCCCCCCAAATGTGGGTATGAAGTTAAAAATACACATGTTGCTGGTGTGACTTGGTCCTCACAAGCTATGGGACCTTGAGTAAATTTCTTCATTTCTTGGGGTCTCAGTCCATAAGGTGTAGAATCCACCTTGCAAACTTCATTGGATCCTCATATACTTCAAATAAGGGGTGTGGGAAGACTTCAAAAACTGTATGAGAATGGTACCATGGCAGATTTCAAGGGTGGATCCCAGTTTCATCCAATTAATTGCATCTTGTATAAGATAATATCACAGTGAAAGGGTGAGAACCAGAGGATGCTGGTGTCCCAGTATAGATAGGGAGCCATGGATGATCATTAAGGATCTGTTGAATGAATGCATGAATCCCTAACCTTGAGAAAGGTAATGAACATTCATTTATTCAACACACATTGACTGAGCCAGGCTGGCTAGAGATACATGGTGAGCAAAAGCACGCACCATCCCTTGCCCACATGGAGTTTATAATCTACTCAAATACTCACATGGGTAATTGTAAATTGCATCATTGCTCTGTGCCATAAAAGAAAGGAGCCCTGACCCATTTGGCTCAGTGGATAGAGCAACAGCCTTTGGACTGAAAGGTCCCAGCTTCAATTCCGGTCAAGGGCATGTACCTTGGTTGTGGGCACATCCCCAGTGGGAGGTGTGCAAGAGGCAGCTGATCAATGATTCTCTCTCATTGATGTTTCTAATTCTCTATCCCTCTCCCTTCCTCTCTGTAAAAAAAAAAAAAATATATATATATATATATATATATATATATATATCAATGAAATATATAAATACATTTTTATTTTTATTTATTTATTTATTTTAAGATACATTTCTTCTTAACCCCTAGAAAACACTGGTTAAAATTGTCCTAGCACAAGATTCTCCTAGTCCCTGTACAGTATTAACTCTTTGTCACGTTACTTACATGATAATTGGGGGCGAGGAGGGGGATGTGACTTTAAAACAGTATACACACAACCACCTTAAAGTTAACTTGTTAATAAGTCCTTGTGCAAAACAAGCAAGCCTCTATCATTAGGTGAAGTACGTTTTCAGATATTCTCTTTTACACCTGGGGAAGGAGACGGAAGCAGAGGCATCCGAGGTGGCAGGTGGACACTCAGAAGTGCCTCTCCTTCTCTGTGATGGCTGCAATGGTCCCATCACCCTTGAGTTTGGCGTCTCAGTCATTAACCATCACCGTCTGCCCCAAGCTTGCCTCTCATTTTCAGGTCAGCACTGGGGATCACCAACTTCCGGAATTTCTCGAGCAGCGTCCCCTCTGTCTTCCACAGCTTGATGACGATCCAGATGGGGATACAGAGCATGGAGGACAGCGCCATGAGCCAGCCTATGCTATAGCCCCAGGCGGGGTAGGTGTAGACATTGTTATACTGGAGGGGCTTGTACTTGATCAGGAAGAAGATGAAGATACTCACACAGATCGCGGGGGTCACGACCTTCCAGCACCATTTAATGAGTGACAACGGCCGGTAGCCAATCATGTCTTCGATGTTATCATAGAAGCGGTTGCTTCCGTACACCCAGCCGATGCAGACACACTCAAAGTTGGCCACAAAGAGGAGGCACATCCCGCTGGAGGCATAGGAGTCAAAGAGCTGGAAGATGTACATGCCACCCTCCGTTAACATCACGAGGCCCAGAAAATAGGAGATGACCGACAGGGCCAGGATGAACAGCTCCCGCCGGTAGCCCCTCCGGAAGACCTTCGGGTACATGTCCACCATGGAGGTCACAAGGCTTTCTACACACACAAACTGGCTGTCCAGACCGAGGAAGATGAGCATCATGAAGAACAAGATGGCCCATAGTGGGGAGAGAGGCATCATGGTGACAGCCTTAGGGTAGGCAATAAAGGCCAGGCCAGGGCCTGACTCTGCCACTTCGGCAATAGGTACCCCCTGCTCACATGCCATGAAGCCCAGGACAGAGAAGATGGCAAAGCCGGCCACGAAGCTGGTTCCGCTGTTCAGACAACAGAGCATGATGCAGTCCCTGTAGCAATTGTTGTTGTAATTGTTATAACTTCCCAGAGTAGTCAGACAGCCCAGGCAGATGGCATAAGAGAAAAAGATCTGCGTTCCAGCATCTATCCAGACCTGTGGGTCAGAGAGCCGGGAAAGGTCAGGGTGCAGGTAGAACTTGATGCCTTCGGAGGCCCCAGGCAACATGACCCCTCGGATCAGGAGGACCAGAAGCATAAAGTAGGGGAATGTCACGGTGACATATACAACCTTTCCTGTGGACTTGGTCCCCTTCCAGATACAGAAGTAGCAGATGGTCCAGGCTGCCAGGAGACACAAGGCCAGCTCCCAGCGGAGATTCCCAATGTGCTCAATCCCATCCGAGATGGCCAGGACCCGGCGCTCCCAAAACTCCACAACAGGAGAGGTGGCATTCTGCAGGGACACATGGCTGTGGTTGGTCATGTTCAGTTTCTGGAACTCCACACATTTCTCTGTGTTCCACTCATGCCCACAGGTGGCCCAGGGGAGCTCGGCGGTGAAGCAGTTGCACAGGTAGAAAATGGCCCATGCCAAGATGATAATGTAATATACATTCAGATGGGCCGCAATCACCTGTGTTGCATAGCCAATGCCTTCAAATAAAGGGCAAATTTTTCTCCAACATGTAATGCCACCTTCATTCGTGAACTGTCCCAGAGCCGTTTCCAGGAAAAACACGGGAATTCCACAAAAAATAAAAAACACCACATAGGGAATCAGGAATGCTCCTCCTCCGTTCTTGTAGCACAGGTAAGGGAAGCGCCACACGTTGCCGAGCCCGATGATCTCCCCGGCCATGCTCAGCAAGAACTCCACCTTGTTGTTCCAGTGGCCGCGCTCGTGGATCGCCTTGACATGCGGGACCCGTATGGCCGCTGCGGCAACCCCGCCGCTGCCCCCTGGCGCCTCAGGCTCCCGTGCCTCCTCTGCAGCCTTCTCCGCCGTCATGGCCGCGCTGGCTGCCTGGTGCGCTGGGCCGGCTCTGCCTATAAATACATTTTTAAAAAGATAGGAGCAAGGAGCCTAGAAAATTTGTACTAGAGCAGATTAACTTAGAGTGGTTAGAGGAGACTTCCTTGGGGAAGTGGCCCTTGAGTTGAGAACTGAAGAATGAACAAGAACCAAGGTGGGGAAGAAGGGAGGGAAGAGTGACCCCGGCAGAGGGATCAGTGCATGCACAGGCCTTTTGGCAGGAGGGAGCATGTGGGCGCATGGTACTGAGAAAGGCCAGTCCTGTTGGGTGGAGTGATGGGATGAGGCTGTGGATCATGCGTAGCTGTGTGCACTTGATTTTGGTTCTTCTTCAGCGAGGCCACTGAAGGATTGCAGCTGTGATGGCGGCGGTGGTAGAGGATGTGTATTTGGCAATGATCAGATCTGGGTTTTGGAAAGATCACTCTGGCAGAAAAATGAAATATAACTCAGGGGCAGGAGGGTAGAGTGTATGTGTGGAGATAGACAGAGACTTTTACCGCCTAGGGGAGAGAGAGAGAGAGGAGGGGGGGGGGGAGAGAGAGAGAATGCTCTCCTCCACAGATGATCCAGCTCCTTGGGTCTATCTAGTTCTCCCTCTCCCTGCAGCATTCCTTCTGGGAGGCCCTCCCCACCAAGAGGGAGGCAGGTTCTATGCAATGAGCTCTCCCCTGTAGACAGAGAGAGTGAATCAAAGTGAGACCTGAACCAAAGTGAGACCTGATCAGCAAATTTGTCCATTTTGAGTCCAGGTAAATCAGTTCCTGCCAGGTGAAATGATAAAATGCAGTTTCTGAATCTGCAAGCTGAGAACTCAGCCCTGGATTTAGGTTGACCCCAAGTACAGGTAACCTGACAGGCCCCCCTGAGATTATCACCCAGGCAGCATCCTTCCCTTCACTCACACCCTCACTCCAGTTAGGATACCACCCCTTATGCCCCTCACTGCAAAGATGGGAAAAGTGAGGCCCACAGAGATTTAGTGATTTGTTCCAAGTCACACGGTAACTTTTAAGGACCAGTTCCCTGTCTACAATTCATTAGGTGATATTTTCAAAATGCTCTCCTGGTCAGCATCATCTTTATATACATATACTAGAGGCTTGATGCACGAAATTTGTGCAAGAGTAGGCCTTCCTTCCCCCAGCTGCTAGCACCGGCTTCCCTCTGGCACCCGGGACCTCCCCTCAAAGCCCCAGCTTTGTCTGGAAGGTTGTCCAGATGGATGTCCGGTCTAATTAGCATATTACACTTTTATTATTACAGATAATGGACTGAGTCATAGATATGTGCTTTGAAATTAAATTTCATATTTTACAACTTCTATACTTTGCTCATACAATCTCCAGCTCCTAGAGTAGAAGGGCTACTGTATGGGCATTCAGCCTAAACCTTACAACGGACTAGCTGAGCCTTCAACAATTTCTAGTATTGCAAAGAAATGCACAAATATTGTTAATGAGCCTTTCTGTATCAGTGTCAGTGCCTTCACTTCTAGATGATTGGAGAACTTAGTTTTCAGTGAGAAAAATGAGTTTTCCTTTGCAATTCACTCAGGGCCATTCTTTAGCTTAACCGACAAAAAACAAAAGCCCCATGATTGTCCTGGGCCTCTCAGTGTACATTCTTCTGCCTGCACTGTTCCTGTTTCCCCTTTGCTTCCTCATAGGGTTTCCTGCTTTGACCCTTTTTATGATTATACTGCTGGGCCCTTTTGTGATGTTTCTGGCTTTTATTACTGCATTTTTACTTACTTGTTCTTTGTTCTACTGCCTGCTCCCTCAGGAAACAGCTAAAAATTCAAACCTTGGCCCTCCTGTTGTTGCTAGAGATTTTAGTTTATATTTGTAATAATTATTCAAGGATGTTAAAAAAAAAAAAAAAAAACAGCAAAAAACAACAAACACAAAACAACCCAGATCTGATTTCCCCATCATTGTTGCTTTAAGATTGAACAGTACAAGTGATATGCTGTCAATTACAGTCAAATGCAATCTGATTTTCCCATGGTTTTCTTCCTGTCTTTCCATGGTACAGCTTCATACACTTGTAATTTTTGATAACCAAGATTCAGAGGTGTGTCTGTGTTCATCTTTTTTTACAAGAATCCTCTTAGTCCTGGCCACTGTAGTTCAGTGGTTAGAGCGCCACCTGCTCACTGAAATGTCTTGGGTTTGATTCCCAGTCAAGGGCATGCATCTGGGTTGCAGGTTCAATCCCTGCCTGGCCAGGGGGCAGGTGCAGGAGGCAGCCAATCTATGTGTCTCTCTCACATCCCTCCCTCCCATCTTCTCCCTCTACCTCATCCCTTCTCTTTCTAAAAATGAATGGGAACGATATCCTTAGGTAAGGATTAACCACAACAAAAGAAATCCTCGAAAACCAACCTTTTGGTGACCATCTTCAGGCTAGCTCCTTGAGCCTGGAAGCTCCAGGTTGCAGGAGTTTGGCACAGAACTGAGAGAGCTCCTGCTTGGGGCTCTGAAATTGCAGTTTGTGTTAAACATTTGACTTTCTCTCCAATTGGCCGTCTCTCTCCAAAAGAAGCATTATTCTCTCATCTTTAAAGAATGCTGAGTTTAGTCGGTTTTGAGCAAATTATCAGGAGAGTTCTCAAGAATTAGGAAGAAAAAGCCAAACTATTTTACTCAAACTGGGGCCACAACCTCCAGGGGTGCTGTTGCATAGCCCTGTTTTCCCTCCATTTTAACCCACTCCACTGTGCTAGCACCACCAGCTAAAAAAGGGCAAATCTGAATCAAGCTAACAAAGTATTCTTTCCACCGAATGCTGGGGTTGGGGTGGGGGTGGGGGTGGAGTTTACTCGACTGAAATGTTTTGTTACCATGAAGATGAAATTACTCTTTATGAAGTACATGGTTATAAGTTTCTGTAAGCTGGAAAATGTACTTCCTCCCCCTCCCCCTTCCCCTCCCCCTGGTTAGGAGAGAATAAAGCACATTGTCTGGGAAATGGCTTCCAAGGGGGCGGGGGGGGGGGGGGGGGGGGGGGGAGCGGGAAGCCTGCATAAAGTAGTTTCTCAAAGCTCTGTCCTGGTAACTCAATTAGTTGGAGTGTTGTCCCATACATCAAAAGGCTGTGTATTCAATTCCTGGTCAGGGCACATACCTAGGTTTTGGGTTTGATTTCGGGATGGGGGGGTAGGGGGAGAGGGTTGTGTATAGGAGACAACAGATTGATGTTTCTCACATCATTGTTAGTTTTCTCTTCTTTCTCTCTCCCTCTCTCTCTCCCTCTCCCAATCCCTCTCCCTCTCCCTCTCCCTCTCTTCCCCCCTCCCTACTTTCCTCTCTCTCAAATCAATAAAAACATATAATTGGGTGAAGAGTAAAAAAATAAGAGTAATTTAAAAGAGTGGGTTCTCTAGCTGAAACCGGTTTGGCTCAGTGGATAGAGCGTCAGCCTGTGGACTGAAAGGTCCCAGATTCCATTCCGGTCAAGGGCATGTACCTTGGTTGCAGGCACATCCCCAGTAGGGGGTGTGCAAGAGGCAAGCTGATGGATGTCTCTCTCTCCTCGATGTTTGTAACTCTCTATCACTCTCTCTTCCTCTCTATAAAAAAATCAATAAAATATATTTTTAAAAATAAAAAATAAGCAGAAACCGGTTTGGCTCAGTGGTAGAGCGTCGGTCTGCGGACTGAAAGGTCCCAGGTTCGATTCCGGCAAGGGCACGTACCTTGGTTGTGGGTACATCCCCGGTAGGGGGTGTGCAAGAGGCAACTGGTCGATGTTTCTCTCTCATCGACGTTTCTAGCTCTCTCTCTCTCTCCCTTCCTCTCTGTAAAAAATCAATAAAATATATTAAAAATAAATGAATAAATAAAAAATAAAAAATAAAAATAAAAGAGTATGTTCTCACCAGTGACTGTTGAGTTGAATTGAACCTAAGAGCCTGTTTTTTGTCTGTGTTTGTTTTTATTTTGGAGAGAGGAAGGAAGAGAGAGAAATATCAATATCTGGTTGGAGGACTGGTTGAAGCTACGTTTGCATGTACTAGTATGTTCAGATAAACATCAATTGTCCACACCATAGGAGAGGACATTATGGAAATCCCCAAACCCATCTCCCCACTCCTTAGCACTTCCACCATCCAGCTTCACTTCAAACTCAGCACATTAAAAACAGGCCCAGTAAGGGCTAGTTCTCCTTAAAATTTGCCCCAACTTCCTCGCCTATTTAAGGTAGTCAGGTTAAAAACACTGGAACTTTGTTAAATTCTCCTCCTCAGTATTCACCCTCCTCTTACCCAATTAATCATCAAATCCTGTCTACCCTTCCTTTATAATGTCTTGGAAAGTCTCCATTTCTCTTCTGGCAGTTCAGAGATAGAAGATGGGAATCCACATACAGATGAAAAAAATTATAGAAATATAAAAAAGTGCAAAATAGCCGAAACCGATTTGGCTCAATGAATAGAGCGTCAACTTGGGGACTGAAGGGACCTGGGTTTGATTCCGGTCAAGGGCATGTATCTTGGTTGCGGGCATATCCCCACTAGGGGACGTGCAAGAGGCAGCTGATCGATGACTCTCTTTCATCAATGTTTCTGGCTCTCTCTCTCTCTCCCTTTCTCCCTGTACAAAATCAATAAAAAATATATTTTAAAAAGTACAAAATAACATAGTTTCAGACAAGCTTTTATACCGATTATGGGGCACAGCACTGCATTTGTCTTGTGAAATTCAGAGCAGTTGGGGGCCCTTCCTCAGGTTCAGGGGTGTGGGAGGCCTTTGCTAGTCCAGCTCAGGATATTTTGATTCAGCCACCCCTCCCTGGACTGAGGATCAGGAAGCCTTCATTTCCAGATGAACCAATCTCCATTCAGAGCATGGCACATATATATCTAATCTAGTGCTGGCATAATTTATTAAGAGTATTTTATTTTGAGTTTATTCTTGTGTATGGTGTAACTTGGTGGTCTACTTTCTGTCCAATTTCCCCAATAGCATTTATTGATGATACTGCCTTGACTCCATTGCATGCTCTTGCCTTGTTTTCCAAGTATTAATTGAGCATAATGGCTTGGGTCAATTTCTGGGTTCTCTGTTCTGTTTCATTGATCTGTTTAGATTACGGGGCTTTGTAGAATAACTTGATATCTGGTATTGTGACCTCCTCCAACTTTGCCTTTCTTTCTCAGGATTACTGCTGCTATTCAGGGTCTCTTTTAGTTCCATATACATTTTTGGAGTGTTTGTTCTAGGTCTGTGAAATATGCTGTTTGTATTTTAATAGGGATTGCATTGAATCCATAGATTACTTTGGGTAGTGTGGACATTTTAATGATGTTGATTCTACCAATCCATGATCATTAATCTTCCACTTGCTTATATCTTCCTCTATCCCCCCCCTTTTTTTTTTATGTCCTATAGTTTTCTGAGTACAAGTCTTTTACCTCCTTGGTTAAGTTTATTTCTATGTATCTTAACTTTTTATTGCAATGGTAATTGGGATTTTTTGTTTTTGTTTGTTTCTCTCTGTGAGAGTTCTTTGTTGGTGTATAAAAATGCCATTGATTCCTGGGTGTTAATTGCGTATACTGCTATGTTGCCAAATTCATTTATTAAATCTAGTCTGGACATGTCTCACAGCAATATGTTTGCCGATACACATTCTAGTGCAGGGGAAAATAAACACATGGGACTACATCAAGATAAAATGCTTCTGCACAGCAAAAGAAACCATCAACAAAATGAAAAGGGAGCCCACTGTACGGAAGAATATATTGCTATTAAGACATCTGATAAAGGATTAATATTCATAATATATAAGGAACTCATATGTTAACAAAAGGAAGATAATCCAATTGAAAAATGGGTAAAAGACCAAAACAGACACTTCTCCAAAGATGGCCAAGAGACTTGAAAAAAAATGCTCAAAGTCACTAATCATCAGAGAGAGGCAAATTAAAAAGACAATGAGGTATCACCTCACACCTATCAAAATGGCTATCATCAACAAATGAACAAATGACAAGTGCAGGTGAGGATGTGGAGAAAAGGGAACCCTAGTGCACTGCTGGTGGGAATGCAGACTGGTGAAGCCATTATGGAAAACAGTATGGAGTTCCCTCAAAATATTAAATATGGAACTGCCATTTGACCAAGTGATCCCACTTCTAGGAATATACCCTAAGAAACCCACCAATCAGAAGGACTATATGCACCCCTATGTTCATAGCAGCACAATTTACAATAGTGAAGATCTGGAAACAGCCCAAGTGTCTATCAGTAAATGAATGGATAAAAAGCTGTGGTACATTTATAACATGGAATACTATGCAGCTATAAAAAAGAAGGACCTCTTGCCTTTTGAGACAGCATGGAAGGCAGAGAAAGACAAGTATCACATGATCTCCCTCATATATGGAATTTGATTAACAAAATAATCCAGAGACATAGAAGCATGGGACAGATTGAGGCATCTCAGGGCGGTTTGGCGGTGGGTGGGTAAAAGGGAGAGATTAACTGGGGAATTTATATACATATACTAATATGCTTTGCCCATGGACACAGACAGTAGTGTGGTGAAGGCCTGGGGGCAGGTGTGGGGTGGAGGGGGTCCATGGGAATGAAGGGGGGAGGAATCTATAATATTTTCAACTATAAAATTTAAAAAATACAATTTTAAAAAAAGAGTATTTAATGGCAAATTAAAAATTCTTTTGTTTATATTTTTACCTTCACCTGGACAGAAGCTCATTCTTCTGTTTGTTACTGCTCCTCCCCTTCCCCCATAGCAACCAGCACAGGGTTCTGCAGTTTGTAGTCTATAAATAAAATGTTTGTTAAATCACAGAGCCTTAGAATCTTAGAGTCAGAAGGAATCTTGGGAATCTCTCTTGTCCAGTCCTTTACAGATGAAGAAAGCCAGTCTAGAGAGATTAGTTGACTTGCCCAAACTCACATAGCTGGCTGGTGGCAAAGGACCAGAACCCAGGTTCCTCCCGCTTTGAAATATCCTACCCTAAATTGTCCTTAGATAATCACGACAGGAAAAATCTAATTTTACACAAGGTCTCCCAGAGATGGTGGTGAGAGGGGTGATTTGCCTTAGACTGAGACGTTTACAAAGACTCGGTCGGTCGCAGGACCGCCCTGGAGGTCTGAATCCTCGGCTAGGTGCTGGGGTGGGTCACAAGTTAGGTGTTGATGAGTCTGCGGCCCCATCTGGGCTCTTCGGACAGGAAGGCGCCCACCAGGGCCTCCACCCAGGGGGCTCCCTCCCGGGCTGCCAGCGTCTGTCACACCGCCGCCGCCGCGGGGCCCGCCCCACGTGGACTCGGCTCCCAGGATCAAAGTCTGTTTGCTCCCGGGACCCCGCAGGTGTGCGGCGGGCGGTGGGCTGGGAGGACCCGCAGGCTAAGAGCAAGGGAGGTCTCGCCCAACACCAGCCCGCCCCTCCTCCTTCTCCTCCCCCCGCCGCTGCACGCGGCCCTCGCCCCCTACCCTCCCCCACGGCGCTCGCCGCTGCACCCGGCCGCGGCCCCCCAGCCCACGCCCGGCTCCCGGAGGCGAAGGCCCCACCCATCTGTCGGGGCCTCGGCCCCGCCCCCTCCGGCCCCCGCCGAGACTCCCTCCAATCGTGAGCGCGGGTGGGCGGGACGCGGCGGCTGTCGTGAGGGGGTCCTAGCCAATGGGCGCGCGTGCCGGGCTTTGTGGGCGGGGCGTCGGCTCCTTGTCATACGCCGGTCCGTGTGAAAACGGGGGTTCCGAGTGCAAAGCAAAGTTTTTTTGTAAACCGTCTGCAAAGCCTTGGGGGGGAGAAGCAGGCGCCCGGCACCGGGCCGAGTGCAGCTGCCGTGGCTGCCGCCGCCGCCTTTTCAGCCTCCCCGGCGTCGGCTTCTCGATCGGAGCCCACCGCGGAGGCGCCCAGCGGCGGGAAGACCTGCGCGGAAAGCCACTTCAGATGCTCGGAGCCTTCGCAGCAGCGCGGACCTGCCTCCCGTCGCCCGCCCCCGCCTCCCACCGGCTCTCGCTTCGGGTCGGGCTCACGGTCCCCGGGCTCCGGGCACCCCGGCTCCTCCGCGCCGCCGCTCCCCTGCAGGTGTGGGGCTGCTGGGGCTGAGCGGGGCCTCCGCCTCGGCTCCGAGGACCGACTCCCGCGGAGCTGCACGCTTGCCGGCCCGCCAGGGACGCCCACCGGCGCGGCGGCGGCTCACCGCTCACCCCCCTTCCCATCCCGGAGGCTCCTGAGCGGCGGCCCCAGCGGCCCGGCCCGCCGGCTCGGACCGAGAGGATCCCGCGCCGCTCTCCTCCTTCCTTCCGTCACCGGCTCCTAGACCGGCCCTCGGCGCCTCCGCAGCCACCGCCTCCCCAGGGTCCGGCCGCCCGCGCTCGGCGGGGCCCCGAGGAGCCGCAGCCATGGGGTGCTGGAGCCGCAACCGGGGCCGGCTGCTGTGCATGCTGCTGCTGACCTTCCTGTTCATGGTGCTGGAGATGGTGGTGAGCCGCGTGACGGCGTCGCTGGCCATGCTGTCCGACTCCTTCCACATGCTGTCGGACGTGCTGGCGCTCGTGGTGGCGCTGGTGGCCGAGCGCTTCGCGCAGCGCACCCACGCCACCCAGAAGAACACGTTCGGCTGGATCCGGGCCGAGGTGATGGGGGCCCTGGTGAACGCCATCTTCCTCACGGGCCTCTGCTTCGCCATCCTGCTGGAGGCCATCGAGCGCTTCATCGAGCCGCACGAGATGCAGCAGCCGCTGGTGGTCCTGGCGGTCGGCGTGGCGGGGCTGGTGGTGAACGTGCTGGGGCTGTGCCTCTTCCACCACCACAGCGGCTTCGGCAAGGGCCACTCGCACGGGGGCCACGGCCACGCCAAGGGGGGCGCCCGCGGCGGCGACCACAGGAGCCCCGGCGGCGGCCGGAGGAGACCCGACCAGGAGGAGACCAACACCTTGGTGGCCGGCAGCAACGCCAACGGGCTCAAGCTGGGCGGGGCAGGTGAGGAGAGAGGCGCCCGAGCCTCAGGTGGTTGGTTGGGTTTTGGGGGAGCCGGCACCGGAGCCTGAGCCTGGCCCCGGGCGGGATGGCCCGTGCGCCCCGCGCACGCCCCCTGGCGCCCGAGTCGGTGTGCGCCGCGCCGGGCCGCCGCCTTCCCGCGCCCTCCGGTCCCGCCCCCGCCGGGGAGGGGGTGCAACAGGGACCCCTTTCTGCGCTGGTGTTAGCAGCCCCCCGGGGGCAGTGGGGGTGTAGGTGTGTGTGTGTGTGGGGGGGGACGTCTGGGGGGTGTAGGTGGGCGACAGGCCTCTGCCCTGCGCCACCGCCCTTGGCTGTCCTAACAGGCTATCTTTTCCAAGAGACTTGTCTAATTTGGGTTTTTAAAGGATCCAAGATGCTTTCTTAATTCAGTTTCTTGACCCCATTGGGAAGTGAAGGGAATCAGCCATTCGTTCTTAGTCGTTGGCTGTTTGAAATCCAGGTGGTTGGTTCTTAGGCCCTCTGGACAAGTTTCTGAATATTGTGTTCAGGGCCGTTTTGCCATTGACTTTCCAGAACTCGGGTTTCTTGTATGAACAGCAAGGTATGTTCCAGTTAGCTGTCTAACATCTAAACCCGAATTCTGAGAATCCGAGACTTTAGGACCTGTTTAGGCATGCTTAACGTTTCAGTTAGGACTTTTCAGTTATGCTAAAAGTGATTTTTTCATCTTTTATTTTTAATGGATGCTGTTTATTCTAAACGTAAGGGCTCTTGAAAGGAAGTTGGGAAGTACATATTGAAAAGAATCAACCAATGAATGCCCCACTACCCAAGCTCAAAAATAACAGCTTGTATTTCCTTCCATTTTTTTTTTAATCATTTGTATTTATTTGCCTAGTTGCATGATACTACATAGACAGTTTTCCTTGTTTTGAAGATGCAGGATATTAGGTTAATGAAATTCAGATTGTATATTAAAAAAGTTTAGTAGATAATTGAATTTTCCTTTCACTCCTATTCTGCAGGGTTTTTATTCCAAAGAAAATTAAGCTGCTCTGATTTTGTGTGTGTGTGTACAGATTGGTGTGTTTGATTGAAGAGTTACAGAGGGAAATAGGGTGAGGTTGGTAAAAAGGTTCAGACTTCCAGCTGTAAGATAATAAGGTCTGAGGACCTGTGTAACACATGGTGGCTATGGTTGATAACACTATTCTGTAATTGAAATTTGCTATGAGAGTAGAACTTAAATGCTCTTACCAAAACAAACAAACAAACAACAAAAAACAACAAAGATAAATATATGAGGTGATGGATGTGTTAATTAAATAAATAGGGAGGATTCTTTCATAATGTATAGCAGTGTTTCCCAAAGTGTGGGGAGAGGGTTTGGTGGGGATATGCACTGCCCCATGCTTAGCTGCACCTAATTCTACATTCTCACAAGGGGTACTCAGCGTTACGAAAATTATAGAAGGGGTACACATATGTCAAAAGTTTGGGAAACACTGATGTATAGAAATAGGTCATCATGGTGTACACTTTAAAAATAGTCTAAAATGAGTAGGGTACATAGTGATCAATTAGCTGCAATTTTTACTGAGGTTACTCTGATTCTTGATAACATTTTATTGTTGATTTGTCAGTTTCTAAATCCTCTATACCAAAAAACTACCATTTATATTCATAATAAAAGTTTAAAAGTGAATCGTAACACTTTAAAGACAAAAAGTTCTCTGTCAAATCAAGCCTTTGTATTAGACTTATCCATAGTTGCATTTGATGGTGGGGTGTTAGCATCCAATTTTGCTACCGTATTTCCCCGAAAATAAGACATCCTCCGAAAATAAGACCTAGCACATGGAAAGATAAGACATCCCCTGAAAATAAGACCTAGCGCAACTTTGGGAGAAAAAATTAATATAAGACACTGTCTTATTTTCGGTGAAACAGGGTATATACCAAAAAGATTAGCAGAATGTTCACAGGACCCCATCTCCACAAAAAGATGAATTAAAAAAGAAAAAAAGAGTGGGAGGAGGTAGAATAGTTAGGAGAATGGGGAAACTATCCTCTTAATGACTTTATTTAGCTCTGACCATTATGTCCTAGTATGGTCCCAGTATGTCAGTTTATATTAAATTGCCCCAAGCACATTTTAAAATCACGTTTTATGAAAAAAAAAAAAAAAAAAAACTTCACCTCCTTACTTGAATGGAATTAGACAAGGATGGTAATATAAACACTTTAAGTATTGGATTCAAAGTTTGTATTTCTTTGCAGATCCAGAGAAGTCCAGAACTAATGCGACAGATGTACAAGTGAATGGGAATGTTATCAGAGAAGCTGACAATACGGATTTGGAAGATGAAGCTGATGATGCTCAAAAGGCTGGACAACTTAACATGCGTGGAGTTTTTCTGCATGTCTTTGGAGATGCTTTGGGTTCCGTGATTGTAGTAGTGAATGCCTTGGTCTTTTACTTTTATTGGCAAGCGTGCCCTGAAGGGAAGTTCTGTGTTAACCCGTGTATCGCTGACCCCTGCAAAGCGCTTGTAGAAGTAATCAATAATACTCAAGGAACAGTTTTTGAGGCTGGTCCTTGCTGGGTGCTATATTTAGATCCAACTCTTTGTATTTTAATGGTTTGTATACTTCTTTACACAACGTATCCATTACTTAAGGAATCTGCTCTTATTCTTCTACAAACTGTTCCTAAACAAATTGATATAAAAAATTTGATAAAAGAACTTCGAAATGTTGAAGGAGTTGAGGAAGTTCATGAATTGCATGTTTGGCAACTTGCTGGAAGCAGAATCATTGCCACTGCTCACATAAAATGTGAAGATCCAACATCATACATGCAGGTGGCTAAAACCATTAAAGATGTTTTTCATAATCACGGAATTCACGCAACTACCATTCAGCCCGAATTTGCTAGTGTAGGCTCTAAATCAAGTGTAGTCCTATGTGAACTTGCCTGCAGAACTCAGTGTGCTTTGAAGCAGTGTTGTGGGACACGGCCACAAGCCTATTCTGAAAAGGATACAGAAAAGGCCCCAGCAGTTAGTGTTTCTTGTTTAGAACTTAGTGAAAATCTAGAGAAATCCAGGACTCAAGCTGAAAACATACCTGCTGTTGTGATAGACATTAAAAAGATGCCAAACAAACAACCTGAATCATCTTTGTGAGTCTTGAAAAAGATGTGATATTTGACTTTGGCTTTAAACTGCAAGAGGGAAAAGACTCCACTGAAATTCTAAGTTTGCCAAGTAGTGTAATTGAAGTCTTTGCCTGGTCACACAGTTTAATTCTATTTTTGTAAGAACATAATGGGACTGCTTAACAGACTTCTGTATTACAATTTGTGATTCTCAGTGCAGAGTACAGCTATGCTGTAACAATTTTTGAAAAGCCAGTTTTAACACTATGTTACATTTTGTTTAAAGTAAGTAAAAACCTTATATAACATAATGACATTTGATTTCCAGTTTTGCCATGGGGAAAATTAATTAGGGGGATAAATAAATTAAAATTGTTACTGGAATTTCTCTGCTTTTCTTTTCCCCCCAGTGTTATATTTTGTTTATTAAAATTATAATTGCTAGAACTTAAAATATCACCAACAACTTTGTTTCCTTTGATACTTTAATATTTACTTGCTCTTTAAGATCATTATATAGCATAGTGGCAGCATATTTTAAGAGTGACTGATGGATATTATTAGGAAAAGTTTTTTTTTCTTCTTCACTTGGGGTATTTATCATACTAAAGGTTAGTTATTATCCTGTGTTCTATATTGCTGAGTATTGCTCTAATAAACAGTGAGATATAATTAACATATTGAACTATAGTTTACACATAATAGGGCATATGGGGAGTAAGAGCAGGGAAGAAAGTTTACCAAATTAAATATTTAGATTATTGTAAATTGATATTGAGACTACATTCTAAATCCTGAGAATTGGAACATGTTTTTTCTTACCAAAGTTAGTCTACAACACAGATGTGTTCACCAGCATTACCTGCTTTGAAAGATTGGCATCAGAAGCACATATATTCAGTAAATGTTTTTAAGGACATTAAACTCAAATCTAATAGTTACAAGTTAAATGCAAGCTTACTAATAGAATCTTTAAGTTAAAAAAAAAAGACTTTCCGGAGTTAAAGTCATTTCATAGTGACCAATCATGAATGGATTCAAGTGCAGCTTTTCAAACACCACCAGCAATCCTTGTTGTTGTTTTTTTGCCAAAAGCCACTGATTTGGGAGAACAAAGAAATCTGAAATGCAGTTTGGATATTAAATTCTTCAAAAGCAATATGAGTTCAGGCAAAATCAGTCATTAAGATTCTGTAAGTTTTCCCGTCTTGACAATGCTCAGATCTCCCAATGATGGCTTATTTTGGGAGAGACCACAATATCTACACAGGAAAATGTTCTTGGTTATTTTATTGTTGCTATTTACACAAATGTTATTTTAAGGGTATTTAAGTGGTATTTTTCTTGATAGAGAGGGATTATGGTTTGTGAAGAAACTAGATTTTTTGTCCTCAAAAGGGTGGATATTAATATCAGTTATCATGTATAGTTCTATTTTTCTAGCAACAAGGTATCCTGACTATTTCTTGTGACTTTTATAGATGACTACTTTTAAGATGGCTACCTTTTGGGCTTTGAAATAATTCATTGTTTAATGCTTCTTAAGATGAACATGCTGGCCTTTGACTGACAGATAACTTTTTAAAGGGATGATCTTCTGTGGTAGACGGTGTGGGGTTTTTTCTAGCATAAGCCTGTTGCTGGCAATGGGCCTATTTAAGAACAGCTGATTTTTCCAATGAGAGAGAGGTAATTTTAGGAACACAGTTTGTAAGTCCACATTTACTCTAATGAGCTAAAACCATAACCTGCCAATTTTCAATACATCTGGACATTTTAATACTCTTATCTGATAGTGTGGAATTAGATTCCTAAATTGGTAGTTACTTTGAACTTTACAATTTCTTTTTAAACATGAACTTGGGGAATTCCCTCGTTGAAGAGAGAGAGCTTCAAATTGTACTGCATCATGTTTGTTCCTGATGTAACACTTTTAATCTACAAAACATTAAAAATCTCAAAAACAGTTTTTTATAGAGACATTTCAGTAATGATACAGTAGGATAACTGGTAAAATATATTCCATGCAACGAAGTTTTCTTTACAAATGTTCTGTTGGGTCTCTTGTTTTAAAGGTGGTATAACGTGTAAGACATCAGCCGACTGAGGGTTTTTGGTTTTTTAATGATGTATAAGCTTGGGGCAAGGGCTTTCCCCACCTCCACGTACTTTGAAGGTAACAAACTCCAGGTTTCAGTTATTTCGCTTTTCATCATTTCTAAGGAGCTTGTATGTAGCAAAGTGGTACCATAGGAAGATTCTCTTTTTTTTCAAAGGACTTTGTCATATTAGCAAAGTCAGTGAGCATGGACTCACCTTTCGAGTTTTGGCAGAGAATTATTTATTTCTTTACAATGCACTTTCTAACCCATCTTTAGCTATATTAGCATCTTTTTTTTTTAAATGCTTTTCTATTTAAATATTGTGGGATTTATGTGTCTTTTCTAAAGTAGCTTGTTCCTTCTTGAAAGAAAAGGAGGGGAATGCCCTGGATGATTCGGAGACGTAGGCCCAGTATTGAAATGTGCTGTTTTATAACCCAGCGTCAGTGCTGGGAGGTGCAGCTCTCTGCTGGCTCTCCTATCTGAGCGAGATAGGTGTCCTTAGAATGTGTTTAGCAACTTGTCTGTCGTGTCTCGGTTTAGTGAGAAGGAGGTGCTGCATGTGCCTGGATTAAAACCAACCCAGAAATGTTTCCAAGCCAAATGCAGCCTTCGTGATGAGATTGATTTAATTCTCCATTGTCACCTTGTAGCTTAGATGAATGTTTAGTTAGTGGTTTTTGGGTTTTTTTGGTTTTTTTTTTAAGGGCATATGCATTGTAAAAGTAAGGACTGGAGCCTATAAGAAAAAAGGTCAAAAAACTTTGCTGTATTTTAACATTTTAGAAAACAATGTTTGACTAAGGTATGTAACTTAGGTAGGAAAAATTTCCATCCAGACCACCTTTGGAAAATCACAATAGGCAGGAGCTGTTAACATTTTGTGTCTTGTTAACAGCCTCAGTTAATCTAGAACTTTTGAGAGTTGAGGGAGAAGGCCTATGAAAGCTAATGTGAAGCATTTAGTAGGCTCACTGGTGTTGAGTTGAAGATTTTTTTTACTGTTTCTAAGCAGATATCCTTTTAATGATATGTCATTTACCTGCTGTCTTAAGATGTTCACCTACATAAATGTGGAGGATAATTCTACATTATAGATATATTTATTTTGATAGCGTTTCAGTTAAGTCACAAAACAGTGTTAAAACGTTTGGGAAGGTAAAGGGTTGTTGTTGTTTTTTTGTTTTTTAAATTGAAACCGTCAAGTACAGTGTCTGACCATCTGAAACGGAAATTGCAATAGCACTATTTTGATATAGCTCTACCAATACTGTGTGGTGATGCTCTTTTGTTCTACTAGCAGGTGCTGGACTATGGGGCAGTCTTTTTTACTGGCACCAGAGCTTTTTGTATGTCACTCAGCTTAAACTTTTAAACCAAAAATGTTATGGTCCAGTGTCTTTGGCAGAAGGATGCTGAAGGGAATGTAACATTAATTAATATGTGGTTATTTGTAAAAGGACAAATCGCCACCTTAGGGTCCTGCCTTGAAACAGCACAATGACGTGTATCTGTGTATCTCGTGATTCTGTATGAAACTTCCATGTTGTGTTGTTCTGGGTCTGCTGAGGCCTGTCCTGCGGGCCGGATGGGGCAGTGAAATGCTACTGTCATCTCATTCAATGCAGAAGCACATACGATGTCTTCAGTGCTGCAACACTTTACCTAACTGTGTGTGTGTGTTCTATGATTGTACATTGTTTTCCAAAGCTGTTCCTCCTACCTCATCATGAGGCTTTATGGATTCGCTATGTATTATAAATGTTCTTTATGAGACAAGACTACTGTGTTTCTCATTTATTAAACGTTAAGTAGGAAAATAAATTAATTTTTAAGTATCTCCTTGGTTATTTTGTGCATGTGGCCTCCCCTCCTGTGCCAGGCTGGGTTATGGAGAAGAGAATGGACGAAGGCGTCGAAAGGGAAATGGCAGTGTTGCTCATGTGCAGGATAGTGCTGTGTGGAGGGAAACTAATGTGGGTAAAATGTCAATAAAAATAGAAAGGGTAACAGTGCAGAGGCTCACCCACATGAAGTGATGGCTGTGAGATTTTTTATAAGCATTTATAATTAGTGCAGCTACAGGTTAATCTGCCTTTTGTACGTGCTATTGCTTATTTGTAAGCATAGTTACTAACAAGGATTATCAACTATTTGACTTATAAAATCATCTGGAACTGTTAACCAAAAGTACAGTAGTTTGGTTATATGAGTTCAGGACTATCATAATTGTAGTCTCATAAAAAATTTTTTAAAAAGCCAGGAGATAAACAAAACAAAACAAAAAAAGACAATAAATGGAAGTAGATAATAGAATTGAAAAGTGCAGCAGAAATATTCCAAAGAAGGTAAAACTCTTTGGAGAGGATTTCTGTAGGTTAAAAATGTAAGGAGGAGCAGGAGTTGAAAAGTAAGGGCATGAAATAAAAGCATAGATGGTTGATCGAGTGGTAGGAAAGTAAAAGAGAAGGTTAGCATCTGGTTTGAATTTGGTTGTATGGGAATGAAGGAAGCCATCAATTTTTGAGTGAAAACGTGAGAAAGTGGAAAAGGCACTGTACAGGATAGATTTGGAATGGGAAGTAGACAAAGAGACAAATCAATTACTATAGGTATTCACTGCTAAGAGCCCAAATACACATGCCCACTCTACACATACATTCCTTTTGGTTCCACACACATGCTGTGTTTATACTTTAACATCTGAAATCAGAATGCATAGAGGCAGGCAGCTTTTGGTCAACTTTTTTTTTTTTTTTTTTATCTCATGAGACTATGGATTGTTATCTACACTAATAAATTTACACTAATAAAAGAGAAAGATGCAAGTTGACTGTACCTTCACGATGCCCACCAGCCAATCAAAGATGGTGGGTTAATTTGCATACACAAGTGCCCAGTGGACAACAACGCAGATGTTTTGCACCGCCCCAGCCACTTCAGGCCTCTGGGCAGCATGGGAAGGAGGAAAGGTGGCTCCGGCTGGAGCAAAGGCTGTGCGGGCAGCCAGGGTAAGGAAGGCCCATACTGCAGGAATCTTCGTGCGTCAGGTGTCTAGTGTATTGTAACATGGGAACAGTTTGTAGTACTAAGGGTTCAGAAAAGAATCCTCCGGCACTATGGACTTTGAAGAACTATTTGCCAACATTCCCTGAAACAATTACATATACCATGCATTTCACGTGTGGATAAAGAGCCGTTGCCTTTGAATTAGATGAAGATACTCAAGATCAGTGACAACATTTAAAGGCATTTCATAGGCATTTCTGAGCCTTCAGAACTGACCATCTTGTCTCTGCTCCCCCTTCATCCCCCCCCCCCCCCCACACACACACACACTATAGCCTATATAGCTTTTCCTCCCTTTTAAATTGGGTAACAATTATACCTGCACTTGCTTACTTACAAACCTGTTTCCCTTTTAAAGTATAAACAGGTCAGGGTGAGCATCTACGTTTCATCAGAAACTAGCACAGAGACTAGCACACTGTCATCATCCAAAGGAGTTTGGACATGGAGGCATGCCAAGGGTGGGAGAAGATACAGTAATATTAATAGCTAAAATATACCGAGCACTTACATACCAGACGCATATGTTTTTTAAGTCTAATCTGTACAAATAGGCCTATTCCCATTTCACAGGCAAGCATAGATTAAGCACCTTACCCAAAGTCACCTAGCTGGTAAGTGATGAGTCAGAACTGGCTGGGGTTAATTCAGCAAGAGAACTAGGACATAGCAAGGAGCTTGTTTTCCTGTCACTTAGAACTGTCAACAACTTCACAAGTAAATTTAAAATGAGTTATTTTTTTTTTAATTTTCATTCAATGAGCCACAATAGAAAGACAAAAAAAAAAAGTTAAAGAATTTGATATTTATTTTTTTAAAAACTACTTTCCAGATGAAAAAATCAGAACTTTGTTACGGCAGACTACCTGACGTTTTTAGGATTTAGACCCTCTCTTGGTTTTCATCCAGCCTTGTGGACAAGTGCCAGTCTTTGCAAACTAGTAGTGTCTTCTCTTCGTGTGAGCTAATCTAGAGTATTGTTTGAGGCATTCACTGTGGCTTGCATATCCTTTTGCTCTGGCCACTGTGGGTCTTTGAGGGAATGAGGAGCAGAGCTGGCTGAAGTAAATGTGGATGTGGACGCATGGGCCATCTGCTTTTTGAAAGGGGTGCTATTAGCATGGGGGCGAGACAGTGTACGATCGTACGGAGGTGTCCTGGGCGTCGAACCTAGCAGCCCTGGTCTTCCACGCTGCCTGGGTGACTCGTGTAAGACACGGAGACTTTCTGCTCTAGTTGCCTAATCTGAAAAATTAGGATAACAACATTTCTTTTTCTTTTTTTTTTAAAATATATTTTATTGATTTTGTACAGAGAGTTAGGGAGAGAGATAGAGAGATAGAAACATCGATGAGAGAACCATCGATCAGCTGCCTCTTGCACACCCCCTACCGGGGATATGCCCGCAACCAAGGTACATGCCCTATACCGGAATCGAACCCGGGTCCCGTCAGCCCCCAAGCCCACGCTCTATCCATTGAGCCAAACCGGTCTCGGCAGGATAACAGCATTTCTCTTACAGGAAGGTGGTAAAGATTAAATCAATCGATGTAAGTCACACACTTTGAACAGTGTCTGATCCTTCGTACGTGCTCAGTAAATATTAGCCGTGTATTTTATTCTCTTCCGATTTTGCACCTTTCCTATTCTTCCCTTCTTTCTCTTTTCTCCGCCTTCGTATTTCTTTCTCCTTTTTTCCTTTCCCCCTTCCTTCCTAAGCCAATGAGTGACCCTTACTTAAGTAAGACATTGGTTAATTTCATTCTTGAGTCTTGAGCATAGTGTTCTTTTTAATGGGACCACAATTCTCTCTCACACACACAAAACTGTAGGCTTTTCTCCTTTCCCTCCCCTCCCTTCCCCTCCCCTCCCCTCCCTTCCCCTCCCCTCCCCTCCCTCCCCTCCCCTCCCCTCCCTCCCCTCCCCTCCCCTCCCTTCCCCTCCTCTCCTCTCCTTTCCTTTCCTTCTTCTGTAACAAACACTACATGCAGGACACAGGACTATCTTATGGGCAAACAGAAGTTTACCGAGTGATCTATGACTTACACTTCTAGAGGAAAGAGCTTGGGGGAGCAGGAGTAGGGGTAACCCCCGAAATAAGAAAGACAATGCCAACCATTTGTGTAGGCTGTGGAGGGGATGGGGGTGAGGTGTTTTCCACCCACGATGGGGTTTGTGTGTGTGCTGTCTGCCCTCTTGCTGCTGGGGAACCTAGTGGTGATTTC